TTGTCTCTATAGATGTCTATATTCTGGACTTTAATACAATAATTAATTAATAGGGAATCATATAAAATGTAGACTTTTGTGACTGGCTTCTTTTAACTCAGCATGATGTCTTCAGGTTCATGTAAGTTATAACATATAGCGATATTTTATTCATTTTGATGGCTGAATAATATTTCATTGTATGTATATGCCACAACATTTCATCCATTTGCCCATTAATGGACATTTGGGTTGTTTCTACCTTTTGACTATGATAAATAATGCTTCTATATAAATATTCATATTTATATATAAGTTTTTGTGTGGATATTTATTTTCATTTCTCTTGGGTATATACCTAGGAGTAGAATTGCTGGGTTATATGGTAATTTTAAATTTAATCATTTAATGAACTCTCAGACTGTTTGCCAAAGTTGCTGCATTATTTTACATTTCCACTTGCGGTATATGAGGATTCCAGTTTCTCAACAACCTCAATAACACTTCTTATTATCTGACTTTTTAAAAAGATTTATTTATTTGAGAGAGCGCGCAAGTTTGGGAAGGAAATGCAGAAGGAGAGGGAGGGAAAATCTCAAGCTGAGTGTGGAGCCTGATGCGGGGCTTGATCCCACGACCCTGAGATCACAACCTGAGCCAAAACCAAGAGCTGGATGCTTAACTGACTGTACTCCCCGAGTGCTCCCTGACTTCTTTTTATTGTACCTATTCTAGTGGGTATCAACTGGTATACATTTTGCTGTTGATTTCTTTATTTTTTTGTCAGAGAGAAAGGGAAAGAAAGATAGAGAGCAAGCACAAGCTCCAGGCAGAGGGAAAAGCAGACTTCCCACACAGCAAGAAGCCTGATGCAGGATTCAATCCCAGCACCCTGGAATCATGACCTGAGCCGAAGGCAGACACTTAACTGACTGTGCCACTGGGGTGCCCTCTCAAGATTTTTTAAAGCATTCAAACATTTATACGGATCTATTAGATCACCCTCATTATTTGCATTATTCTCAGAAGTATTTTTAACTATGCTTTTTATAAACAATTTCATTTCTATGATCTCTCATTAGGTAAGCATGCGTATTCAGCCTTTCTACTATTATTCTATAGTGTCCATTTCTCTTTGAAGATTCTCTACAGAGTTTTGTTAGTTTATGGTCTGTTCTGCATTTCTCCCATCCCCAAGCAATGTTCTCTCCCCCCACTTAAAAACTTTTTCATTTTCATTTTATACATATTTTTATGCTAATCCATGGTTGAAGATATATGTGTTATAGCCTCACAGTGGATTGCAAATCAGTGTAAAAATATTCCTCCTTGATTACTGCAACACTTGGGTGTTGTCTATATTAATATCATGTCTCCAAATTTCTTTTTGATATGACTCTAGTTTTCCTTTTACTTTCAACGATTCTGAGTCACTTTATTTTTAATGTGTCTGCTATATAGCATGAAACTGAGTTTGTTTTTAACCCAATCTGAGTTTTTAAAAAATTGATTAATTTATTCCATAAATGTATATAGCGTTGTTTTGTTTTCTTTCTAGCATGCCCCGCAGCAAGGGCGGAGCACGATGTGGGGCTCAAACTCTCAACCATGAGATCAAGACCTGAGCTGAGATCAAGGGTCGGAGGCTTAACCAACTGAGTTGCCCAGGTGCCCCAATGTTTACATAGTCTCATATGTTCTCCATTCTCTATTTTATAGTATTTTTTTCCTTTTCAGATCTTATTTATTTATTTGGGGGATAGAGAGAGACAGAACACGAGCAGGGGGAGGGGAAGAGGGAGCCAGATGTGAGACTTGACCCAGGTCCCTGAGATCAGAACCTGAGCTGAAGGAAGACACTTAAATGACTGAGCCACCCAGGCACCCGGTATTTTTTCTTTTGTTACAAATTTACCTTTTTCTTTTTCCTTCCCTTTACTCTCCCGTGACTCCTATCATTTTTCTAAATATTTCAGATGTTTTATACTTTAATTTTTTTTAGTTTAATTCTTTTAGAAGTAACTTTTATAATTTAAAATATTATAATTTTACACATGTATTTCTTGATTTATCAACTTAGAAGATGAAATTTATCATCTTAAATTTATCTTTATCAACTTAAAAGATAAAATCTCACTTACATTTCTTTTAGCCTGCCTTTCTTTCTGCCTGTCTCCTTGCTGATTTTTCATTTCGTTTTTTTGCCTTGCTTCTTCTGTGTGGATGTCCGCTCTTTTTCTTTGAAGTTCAGTACTCTCACCTGTGTATGTCTGGGTGTTGATTATTATACACAGATTTTTCTCTAGGACTGGGGTATGGCCTTTTAAATTATAGGTTCAGTTTTCCTTAGATATCTTATTATTTTTTGTTGCCTTCTTTAGAGACCACTAACAGTTATCACTATGTTAGACTTCCACTGTCATTCCTCAAATTATTTTTTCCAATTGCTTTCATTTCCTTTTTCTGTTACAATTCTTTTCCTTCAATTTGTTCTCCGATCCCCTAAATCTCTTTACCTCTTGTTATTACCTAAACTTTATTTAACACATTTCATGTCTTCTGTAATTATTCATGGCACAAAACATTCAGGAAAAACTTTCCTGTCTTATAGAATATGTTTTTACAGCTTGCAGTTCCACCTTTGTTTTTCCAAGTTATGTCTCCGACACTACCAATTGCTGAGCTGCAATTTTGTTTTTTCATCTTATTCATTTTTTTTAATTGTGGTAAAAAACATCCAACATTAAATTTACCATCTTAACCATTTTTAAGTACAAAGTTCAGCAGTGTTAAGTATATTCACACTGTGTGCCACAGAATTCTAGAACATCTTCATCTTGCAACATTAAACACTATATCCACTAAACACCAATTCTCTCTCTGCCCTCTCTACCAGGCCTGTGCAAATACTTTTCTGTTTCTAAAATTCTGACTACTTTAGATACATACTTCATAGATATGAAACACACAATATTGTCCTTTTGTGACTGGCTTATTTCACTGAGCACAATGTCTGTGAGTTCATCTATGTTGTAGCATGAGAGGACTGCCTTCATTTTTAAGGTTACACGATATTCTACTGGATGTATGTACCTCATTTTCTTTGTCCATTTGTCTGTTGATGGACATTTGGGTTGTTTCCATAACTTGATTAATTGTAAATAATGCTGTGATGAACATAAGTATGCATATATCTCTGGGATTTGGTTTGAATTATTTTGGATACATACCCAGAAGTGGGATTGCTGAGTCATGGTAATTCTATTTCAAATTCTTTGAGGAACCGTGATACTATTTTCCACAATGGCTGCAACACCATTATATTCACACCAACAGTGCACAAGAGTTCTAATATCTCTGCATTGTTGGGACAATTGTTACTTTCGGTTCTTTTTGCTCACATCCTAATGGGGTATGGAGTGATATCTCATTGTGGTTTGTGATGTGCATTTCTCTGATGATTAGTGATTTCGAGCATCTTTTCATATGTTTGATGGTTAGTCATAAATCTTAGGAAAACTCTATTCAAGTCCTTTGCCCATTTTTTAAATTGGGTTTATTGTTGAATAATAGAAGTTCCACGTATAATCTGGATATTAACCAATAACCATGATTTGCAAATACTTTCTCCCCATTCCCTAGGCTGCCTTTTCATCCTGTTGTGCCCTCTAAGGCAATTTTCAATTCTGAGTAGTATAATTCATTTATTTTTGCTTTTGTTGCCCTGCTCTTTTGGTGTCAAATCCCAGAAATCCATGCCAAATCAAATGTCATGAAGCTTTTTCCCTTGTTTTCTTCTAAAGGTTTTTTAATTTAGCGGTTATACTTGATCTTTCATCTATTTCGAGTTAATTTTTGTATATGGTAAAAAGCAAGAGTTCACAACTTCATTCCTTTGCACGTGGATGCCCACTTCTAACACCATTTGTTGAAGTGTACTTTATCCACTGTGTAGTCTTGGCACCCTGTGGAGAATCATTTATCTTATCTATTGATCTTGATGTGAAGTAGCTGCAACTGGACTATACTCAAAATACAAATATGAATAGATCAGCTCTTTGACTTCTTTCCTTATCTAGGTATGTTCTATCTTCCTCTAAGAGGTAAAGTTTGACACCTAGGTAGTAATGACTTATGTTCTTTTTTTCTTTTTTTAAAGATTTTATTTATTTATATAAGAGAAAGAGAAAGAGCACGAGAAAGGGAGGGGCAGAGGGAGAAGCAGACTCCCTGCTTAGCAGGGAGCCTGATGTAGGACTCGATCCCAGGACTCCAGGATCATGACCTGAGCCAAAGGCAGTTGCTTAACCCACTGAACCACCCAGGCACCCAGTAATGACTTATGTTCTACATGTTCTTTTATGTTAGAAATAGGGGGCCATGGGTAAACATTGCCTTTTACTTGGCTTTTACTATTTTTTTTTTAAGTCTGTATTGAGGCTCTTTTAGTCTTTATCACAGTCTTCTGAAATGCCTTCAGATTTTAGGCTTTCCCCTGTTTTAGTACTGAGACATGATACTTCTATTATTATCAGCCTTAATTTAAGTATTTACTTGTAATCCTGTTTCTAAGTTCACAAATCTTTTCCCAGAGGTTACAATTATTTTACATAATAAAGTGATTTGCATGAGAAAGCAGGAAAAAAAGAAGAAAAAGAAAAATGGATCTCTATTTAAATTGTGAGGGAACATTATCATCGGAATAAAATGAGGGAGCGCCTGGGTGGCTCAGTCAGTTGAGCATCTGACTATTGCTTTTGGCTTGAGTCATGATCTCAGAGTCCTGGGATTGAGCTCCACATTGGGCTCCACGTTCAGTGGGGAATCTGCTTGAGGATTCTCTCTCTTCCTTTGCCCCTTCCACTGCTCCCACTAACTCTCACTCTCTCTCTCAAATAAATAAATCTTAAAAAAAAAAAAAGAATAAAATGGAAACACACAGACACAGACCTTGTCTTTCTCCTTCACTCTGTCACTCCCTTTGTACTCCCCTCCCCACCCCCCTGCCCCAATCCCATTACCTGCAATATCTATCTGGAAGGATTCTTTTTCTTTTGTCCAGGCTTCCTTAGGAACTGTTCTCTTAGTATGGCTCTCCTCTTTCTGTTTAACATCTTCAGTGTCTGGTAGACTTTCAGTCTTTGTGTCTTGCAATCTAGCTGAGTGCTCTGCAGCCTCAACACCATCAGAATCTGAGAGAGATAAATTAACACAGTAGCCAGACAAGAAGTTGACAAGAAGTATTTTAAAATACCTCTCAAGCATCTAACACGTGAAAGGCACTGTTACTGGTATTGACCCCCCAAAAAAATACATAAATAAAAAGACCATTTAGAAATGTGTTTAGAAACTATTGTTCCAAATTGGAGTTAGAAAATACACAGAAACATGGGGCGCCTGGGTGACTCTTGATTCCGGCTCAGGTCAGGATCTCAGGCTTTTGGGACTGAGCCCCACACTGGGCTCCAGGCTCAGCTGGGGAGTCTGCTTAAAAATTCTCTTCCTTGCCCCCCCAATCTCATGTGCATGCACCCTTTCTCTCTAAAATAAATAAATTAAAAATATACAAAAACAGATGTCATACAAAGTAAAAGAATTACTGCCTAAGAGAAAGAAGTATATGTACTCAAAAAGGGATAAACTACTTCTAGCTCAGAGGATCATGAAAGAAATCTAGAGTAAAATAACAACTGACTTGGGTGTTAGAGGATAGCTAAGCTGGGGGGTGCCTGGATGGCTCAGGTGGTTTAGTGGCTGCCTTCCGCTCAGGTCATGATCCCAGGATCCTGGGATTGAGCCCTGCATCAGGCTCCCTGCTCAGCAGAGAGCCTGCTTCTCCCTCCCCTCTGCCTGCCTATCTACCTACTTGTGCTCTGTCAAACAAATAAATAAAAAAAAATCTTAAAAAAAAAAAAAGGAGAAGATAGTTAAATGGGATAAACACTGAGACAGAAAGACAAAAGGCATTTTAGGCAAAGGTCACTGCACACGAAAACAAGAGAGTCAGGAAAGCAAATAAACATCGAAGAAACAGAGCAAGTGTATGGTTTGAGTACAGAATTTATAAGAAAAAAGGTACCTAAAAAGTTGTTTGGGAGCTGATTTTCCTGTTCTGAAAGACTATACTAAAAGAGTTTAGATTTTATTCTTAAGGGCTTTGAAAACTTTCTGATTGTGAGATAAACAGGATCTGTTACTAGAACATTCATTTAGCAACCGCAAAAAGGGGGGTAAAATTTTGAAATGTTGCCCAGAATATAATATAACTTGTGAGAGCAAGCAATACACACACAAAAAAGAAATGGCTAATTATGTTCCAAAATGTTTCTATTTATAATATTGTCAGAGACTACCAGCTGTCCTCTGAAATCCATTTTCCTTTCCTCTAAAATAAACCCCTGACAATAGACAGGCTGAGGGGATCTTGTGTCCTTCAAATTCCTCCCAGTGAGTTCTTCATGAGCACAGAAGCTCGTTTCCAGCCATTAACTAGTTCACAATCTGAAGCAGAAGCAATTACAGGCAACCAGTGTCCCTAGTCCTATCCTAGGCCACTGAATAATGCCGAAAAGAGCAACCCCAGCCATCAGCCCTTGGAAATAATTCTTCAAAAGGAACTCGTGTCAAAACAGTAAAATGAAGAATCAACAAAACAAAACAAAACAAAAACAAAACCAATCAGTTTTGGAAGATTTTGATTTGGTCGGCTGCTGGGTTAAAGCAATTTTGATAATGTTTATTTGGGGAGAGAAAAAGCAAGTGTATCCTAGCTCTTAAAGTCTCTCTTAACGCTCAACTGGAGAAAGTAAGAGCTAAGTATCAGCTGAGAAGCAGAAATCCAATCCCACCTTAGACATCCAAATATTTTCAGACTGTATGGTTACTTCCATGATGCCACTAGTTTACCCAATTCTAGACTATGCCCCTCTTGGACCTGTCTAAGGAGAACTTCACAAACTGTCAGTCTGATGAGCAGAGGACTGCTACGCTTCTACAACAGGACTGGCAAATGCCCTGTCTTAACGTCATTCAAAGAGAGTTATTCATAGAGACATTAAGCCAGAGAACCCACTTCTTGAATCAACTAGAGAGCTTAAGATTACAGATTTTGGGGAGCTGGTTTATGTCTTCATCCTCTAGAACCACCCACTTACCCTGGACCACCTGCCCCCTGAGATGATTACGGGCCAAATGTATGCTGAGAAGTGAATCTCTGGAGCCTTGGTGTTCTTTGTTATAAATTTCTAGTTGGGAAGACTCCTTCTGATGCAAGCACATACCAAGATACCTATAAAACATATCCTAGACTGAATTCCGATTCTCTGACTTTGTATAAGAGGGAGCCAGAGATTTCTTTACAAGACAGCTAAAATATAACCCTAACCGAAGGCTGATTCTCAAAGAAATGCCAGAACACCCCCGGATCACAGCAAACTCATGGAAATCATCTAGCTGGCAAAAAAGGCAAAGATTTGGGGCACCTGGGTGGCTCAGTGGGTTAATCCTCTGCCTTCAGCTCAGGTCATGTTCTCAGGGTCCTGGGATCAAGCCCCGCATCCGGCTCTCTGCTCAGCAGGGAGCCTGGTTCCTCCTTCTCTCTCTGCCTGCCTCCCTGCCTACTTGTGATCTCTTGTCTGTCAAATAAATAAATAAAATCTTAAAAAAAAAAAAGGCAAAGATTCAACTTTGAAGATGAATCTTATAGGGAGGGGCTCGTGGCTGGCTCAGTCAGTAGATCATGGGACTCTTGATCTCAGGGTTCTAAATTCCAGCTGCACACTAGGCTGCTGTATAATCTGTCAGGAACAGGTTACTGACACTTACCTTACTGCTGCCCGCCTACAATCTAAAGCACTACAGAGCTGCGTTTTTTGTTTTACTGAGCAGGCAGTACTTCGGTCTCCCTACTCAGAAAGTTTCACTTCAGTAGACATGACAGTCTGAAATGAAAAGAACCCGCAGCCTCCTGCTAACTTCACTTTCATAATCTGGAGACAAGGTTCAATTGCAGCCACCACACAGCATGTTCAGAGTATGGTGTCCTTGTAGAAGACGGAGCCGGGGTCCAACCGGGGGTTTGTTCCATCTTGATCAGTTAAAGAGCCAAGCAATAACCTTCCAAGTAACTAAGGGTGTGTGTTACCTACTGGGTGGCCAGGCTTGGTAAAGCTGTCAGAATGAACATGTGATTCGTTCTTTCACATGCAAAAATGAAGATTTTTGTATTAAAAAAAAACCAGAACCTTGACTTCACTGGACATATGGTTATCAGAATAAATATTATATTTCCCAGCCTTCTGGCAACATAGCTTAGTATGAACATGTGACTAAGTCTGGCCAATAGAATGGAAGAGGAATGGTACATGTAACTTTTGAGAAGTATTTAAAGAAGGAATATACTTTTTTCTTTCCCTTTCTTCCTTTGTGCTGGCTGGAATACAGGCCTAATAACTACTGCAGGAGAATGGAGGCTAAAAATGTTGGAGCAACAGGAGAGAAAGAGCTTTGTTCCTTGATACACTGAAGTCTACACCTGGATTTTTACAAGAAAGAGAAATAATTTCCTGTCTTCTTTAAGACAATGTTACTTTGTTTTTATTTTCATCTCTCAGAGCCAAAACAAATCCTAACTATTTTTTTTTAACAAATCCTAACTTTAACACGTTATTATAGCCTTTTTTAATTAGCATAAGCCCACTGAAGTAAATTAACTGGATAGGTACTTAAGAAGTAAACAAGCTGAATTCCTAGAGAAAAAGGTTTATGTACAATAATAGTATTAAAGAGTAAGCATCTGGGACTCCTGGGTGGCTCAGTGGGTTAAGCCTCTGCCTTCAGCTCAGGTCATGATCTCAGGGTCCTGGGATCCCACATCGGGCTCTCTGCTCGGCGGGGAGCCTGCTTCCCCTCTCTCTCTGCCTACTTGTGATCTCTTTCTCTCTGTGTCAAACAAATAAATAAATAAATAAAATCTTAAAAAAAAAAAAAGAGTAAGCATCTTGTGGAACTGAATTTTCTTTTTCTTTTTTTTTTTTTAAGATTTTATTTATTTATTTGACAGAGATCACAAGTAGGCAGAGAGGCAGGCAGAGAGAGAGGAAGCAGGCTCCCCGCGGAGCTGAGAGCCTGATGCAGGGCTTGATCCCAGGATCCTGGGATCATTACCCGAGCTGAAGGAAGAGGCTTTAACCCACTGAGCCACCCAGGCGCCCCGGGACTGAATTTTTTATCAGTAAAGTCCATTATGTGAATTTCTGGCAATGAGATTAACTTGTGTACTATAGTCACAAAGTTGTCCAGAATGTCTTAAAAGAGCTTTAAAAATGTTAATTTTACCTGCCAATCTATACCAAAAAAATTGCAGCTAACATCCTATTTCACATATGAGCAAGACAGTGAAAGGCTGAAGACAGTAAGGGAACAGAAAATACTTTTTTGTTTCTACTCATTTTAGAAGGCCAGAAGAAAATAATACACAGATAATCCAGCTCAGTTACCTTCAGTGGTTTTCTGCAAGGGTTCTTTTTCTTCAGGTTGGGCAGCCTTAGTCACTGCATTTTTATTGTAGATCTCCTTTTTCTGGTTTTTATCTGAAATGTTCTCATCCCCAATGATGGAAACTTGAACTTGGGCATCTGGAATAATGACATCACACAATTTCATAGAGAAGGAAAGGACAATAAACACAACAGGCAAGTAACTGCCATCCCCCCTCAAAAAGTCCAAACAAAACCCCAAACCTCTTTATGTATTAAGAAAAAAAAGCATCTCCTAGGCCCCATCACAGCTTTTAAGTTGTGACAATTATGGTGGGTTTACAACATAAATTGGAAAGCTCTTCCTATTTTTCTGTGTACAATGATGGTTTAAATAAAATTCTTTATTTTTTAATTTAAATTCAATTAATTAACATATAATGTATTACTGATTTCAGAGGTACAGGCCTATGATTCATTAGTCTTATATAACATCTAGTGCTCATTACATAACATGCCCTTCTTAATGCCCATCACCTAATTATCCCATCCCACCACCCCCTATCCCCTCCAGCAACCCTCAGTTTGTTTCCTATGATTTAAGCGTCTCTTATGGCTTATCTCCCTCTCTAGTTTCATCTTGTTTTATTTTCTCCTCTCGTCTCCTATGATCCTCTGTTTTATTTCTTAAATTCCACATACGAGATCGTATGATAAGATCATATGGTAACTGTCTTTCTCTGACTGACTTATTTCACTAAGCATAATACCGTCTAGTTCCATCCACGTTGTTGTAAGTGGCAAGATTTCATTATTTTAATGGCTGAGTAGTATTTCATTCTCTCTCTATGTACCACATCTTCTTTATCCATTCATCTGTCGATGGACATCTGGGCTCTTTCCACAGTTTGGCTATTGTGGACACTGTTGCTATAAACACTGGAGTGCAGGTGCCCCTTCGGATCACTACATTTATATCTTTTTTTTTTTTTTAAGATTTTATTTATTTATTTGACAGGGAGAGAGAGAGAGAGCACAAGCAGGCAGAGTGGCAGGCAGAGGGAGAGAGAGAAGCAGGCTCCCCGCTGAGCAAGGAGCCAGATTCGGGACTTGATCCCAGGACCCTGGGATCATGACCTGAACCGAAGCAGCTGCTTAATGGACTGAGTGACCCAGGCGTCCCTTTACATTTGTATCTTTGGGGTAAATAGCCAGTAGTGCAATTGCTGGATTGTAGGATAGCTCTGTTTTCAACTTTTTGAGGAACCTCCATATTGTTTTCGAGTGGCTGCACCAGCTTGCATTCCCACCAACAGTATGGAGGGGGGGGGTTTCTCCTTTCTCCACATCCTTGCCAACATCTGTCATTTCCTAACTTGTTAATTCTAGCCTAACATACCACTGTTCTTTAAATGAAATCTGTTCTTTACTGGTTTGACACAACAGTTAAAAAAAAAAAATCAATTGTCTTTTTCAAAGTAAAAAAGGGATGTGAATAACTCTTTTGAGTTCTTTGGTTTATTCGAAGTTTTTGTCACTTACTGAGCCAATTTTGATTTTCGTATCATCCTAGAAAAGCATTTGTACCATCAAAATTTTATGTATAATACTCTTGTGACTTCAAAAACCTCCTGAAATTATATCCTTTTAAAATTGCTTTATATTTTCTATTTTCTTTCTGTTTATCTTGGTCGTATTTGCCAGAGATTTATCTATCTTATTGGTTTTTTTTTTTTTTTAAATCAGCTCTTTTCTTTCTTATATGAGAAAACTCAAGTGTAAAAATAATATGTTACTAAGTATATTAAAAAGTCACCAATAGGGGCGCCTGGGTGGCTCAGTGGGTTAAAGCCTCTGCCTTCGGCTCAGGTCATCATGATCCTGGGGTCCTGGGATCTGAGCTCACATCAGCTTTCTGCTCAGCAGGGAGCCTGCTTCCTTCTCTCTCTCTCTGCCTGCCTCTCTGCCTACTTGTGATCTCTGTCAAATAAATAAATAAATAAATAAATAAATAAATAAATAAAATCTTTAAAAAAAAAAAGTCACCAATAAAGCAATTAGGATAAGTTAACAATGTTTATGTTTTTACAATGGGTCAAAAAGAGGTTCAGCTCTTCCTAAGTATGAATATTTTTCAACAAAGAAATCAGAAAAGCAATAGAGATTACTAAAGATATAATATAATGTGTCTATCAAAGAGCTGAAGAAATAAACCATTACAGATATGATTCCCTGTGTAAAGGCTCAGAGATGCTACTCTCTGTCTTTTCAGTAGCAACTTTTATGCTGAATTTAGAGTTTATCAATTCCAAGGATGTTTCTGAATTTTTTTTGCTTTATTGCATGTATTAATCAAGAATAGTACCCAGACTGGAACACAGAGCTATCCTATGCTTTAAAAATTGCCCTGGAATCAGCAGCACCTATTTAGCTAACAGCCATGCACAGGAACTAAAAACAGTAAATGGAATAAAGCAACACAGGCAATTATACATGTAGAATTTTCAGTGGCCACTGGAGTCTCCTCCCCCCTTTTTAAAGATTTTATTTATTTATTTGACAGACAGAGATCACAAGTAGGCAGAGAGGCAGGCAGAGAGAGAGAGGAAGGGAAGCAGGCTCCCCGCTGAGCAGAGAGCCCGATGTAGGGCTCGATCGCAGGATCCTGGGATCACAATCGGAGCTGAAGGCAGAGGTTTTAACCCACTGAGCCACCCAGGTGCCCCTGGAGTCTCCCTTTAATAAATACAATCATGTGTCAGCTAGGTAAGTACAATGTCAGGGACGCAGAGGAAAAAAAAAAACAAGCAGGTCTCTAAAGATTAAAAAGTTTCATAAAACAGTGGGGCCTATATCTGGGGATAGGGTTGAAAGCTCAAATACCCATAGTGACCAGACAGATAAGGTGGATGAATGAAGCAGACTGGCTCTGAGAAGTGTGGGGACCTGAAGCAAACACAAGAATGTACATCTTCTCTGCAGGGAAGACCCATGCATCAGGGGCAGGTGATTACTGTCATGGTGGAATGCAAGCTGAGCACAACCAGATATTCTGATTTTCAAGGGAAGTACAAAATCTTATTTTCAAACAGTGGCAGCAGAATGAAAAGAAAATTTAAAATACCACGTGAACCATATACTTTCTTGCAAAATCCAATCTACGAAAACATTAGTTTGTACCATCAGATAAATTCATGAAGCAAATTTAATCAAGATTTTCTACAGATCTGTTTCTGAAACATACCTGACTAGATATTATTTCACGTCAAAAGTTGCAGTATATTTTATTTCCCACAGTGAAAATAAATAGGTCTAAGAAATCTGTGAAGTATTTTAGAAGATTTTATAAATATTTTACCTTCTTGTTTACGCCCAATGAAATAGCTACGAGAAAAGCTTGTGTAACACCAGAAATAAGATAAAGATTAGACAACATTCTCACTTAGAATAACCAGGGAAAAAAAGGCCACAAAACATACAAAGCCAATTCAGTTACCTGCATTATCTTTCTGAGGAGGTTTTGCTCCCAGTGGCAAGGTTGTCTTAGCCACCGCCCTCTTACTGTAGATCCCCTCTTTATGTTTAAGGTTATCAGTGACTGGTAGGTTGTCATCCCTTGTGCCTAGCACCTCCGCCGGGAAGTCTGGAGCAATGGCATCATTGGATCCTACAGAAAAGTGGGAAAGTAGTACAATTAATACAAGTTGAAGTTGAAGAAAGACAAAAAGTTTACGTCTTAAACTGCTTCTATTAAAAAGGTACGACAGGGTGCCTGGGTGGCTCAGTGGGTTAAGCCTCTGCCTTCGGCTCAGGTCATGATCCCAGGGTCCTGGGATCGAGTCCCGCATCAGGCTCTCTGCTTGGCAGGCTTCCTCCCTCCCTTCCTTCTCTCTCTCTCTCTGCCTGCCTCTCTGCCTACTTGTGATCTCGCTCTGTCAAATAAATAAATAAAATCTTAAAAAAAAAAAAAAAGGTATGACAATAGGAGTGTTGTGATGTGACCAGAAGGCGATGTCAGTCAAATGGAAGCTGTCAGACATGTATAATAAACTGCAACAATACACAGTGGAGAAGCTAATGACAGAAAATATAGAGTATCAGCTCCGAAGAAAGACAATTTCCAGTTCAGGAAGGTTTTCAAAGAAAGGAGAATACAGACTGTAACTTAGAAAATAAGTAGTCTTTTTGAACTATGCAGAGGAAGACAGACATTTTAGGAAGAGGTGAAGCATGAACAAAGACAGGGAAATAGGAAAGTAAAAAGTATGTAAGAACAGCAGCCACTTTGTGGTCAGGTCAGATCATAGAACACATTAAAGAAAGTGGTGGGAAATATTAAAAAATAATTGTTTGGGGCAAAATTCAGCAGAGCATGGAATCCCAAGCTATAGAGCAAAATTTTATTGCACATGAAATGTAACATCATTAAAAAATTTTTAATAAAGGGGAAATATAATCAGCCATGTTTTAGTAAGATTAATCTGATAATAATATAAGATACAAAACACTGAAAGAAAAGTAATATGATAAATACAAGATTGGAAAGTAATTTTACCTTCTTTTGAAACACAATTCAATATTCCTACATCCACTGGTAAGAAAAGTTTATCCATGCCATAAAAAAGAGGTGAAGAACATTTCTGAGCCCCTGAACTATGTATGGCAATAAAAGCTCAGGATCAGTCTCATTAGTACAGTGCCAGTGTAGGTAAGTCATGAAGGACTTTTTTAGACAGATTGCAAGGATCCTACTAAGCCTGCTGGGTCATATGTACAGGTTAAATTGGGCTTTTTGTCAGCTGCTGTGGCATCACTTTCTCTTATTTGCTCCCTATCTCTCTGGCAAACCCTTAGTATCTCTCCTTCTACCAAATCTCTCAGCGTAGGAGCTCCTCCAGGGGTCAGAACTCTTTTGACTTCCTGAGTGGACTCATCAATTACCAATGGATTGAACACTATCTATCTATATGCTGATGACCAACAAATACGTATCTCTGGCTAAGATCTTTCTTTGGAGCTTCAGATTCTAGCATTCAAGACACAGCTAGTCCTTAAAGCATCTTTTGAAGAAATTAGAAAAAGGTGTCCCTTTCTTAATTAAACAAATTAAGATATTATATATTATGGTACAACATAACAACTGTACACAGGGATCATTCTCCTCACAAATACTTCCAGATACCAAAGAACACACTCCACCAGCAACCAGCACATGCATACTCTTCACCATCATCCCCCTATGTTCTCCAAGAGAGGGGAGTACGTCAGATTCACAGTCAGGTGGGGAACAGTAAGTCCCTGAGAACAGTGGTGGATAGCACGAGAAGCAAGTCTGTAGAGCTGAGAGGCAACTGAAAGCCTGTCTAGCCAAATGGATGTGTGAATGCCTACAAGTGTATGTGTACTTATTTTGCCTCATCCAAGCACAACTGTGGGACTTCTAAGTATAGAGTTTTGTTTGGGGCAAGAAGAGAGTTAACACTGCTTCAGAACTCTAGATGGAGATCTGGAACCTTCATACTCACCTATGTATTTTCATAAAAAACAGCATATATCTTTATGATGTTAGTAACACAACCTTTTATGTGGCACTCTTGCATATAACCTTAAATGTGTAAATCAACTCTGTTTATGGTCAATAGCCTTCTGACTAACTGGTGTTCTCGCCTCCACGCTTCTAGAGTCCTCACCTTGGCTCCCTGACTTCCCACCTATGAAGTGGTTCTCCATCTCGCAGCCAGATAAACTTTGCAAATGTAAATGAAACCACAGTTGCCTACTAGAATAAAATACAAATGTTTTAGTATGGTTTACAAGACATTAAATGATCTTGGGCCTACCCATCTAACCGTATCTAGCCACCATTCTGCTCCAACCATACTGCATTCTCATTTGTCAAATACATCAAGCTCTCTCCTGTTTCAGGAGCTTTGCCCATTCTGTCACTCTCTACTCTTTGCCTACCTAACCCACCTTTATCTTACAGACCTCATCTCTAAAGTTTTTTTCCTTGGAAAGGCCTTCAGGAGCTCCTAAAACTAAACTGGGTACTCTTATTATTCTCATCCAATTCTACTTTATTTTATTAACACTTACCATTTGTAATTATGTACTTATTTGTGGTCTATTTGTTTACTATCTGTAACAACATTCCACATACTCCATAAACTTGGGACCATGTTTATTTTGCCTCTGTAAATGTAGCACCTAGTATAGCATCTCCCAGGAACACAGTAAGAGCTTTAATACTTTTGGGTTGAAGAAACAATGAACTTGAACTGAAGGCTTTTTGTCACCTTAAGAAAAACAAAACAACCAAACTTTGGTTTTATATGCTTTGGAATGAATGTACACAGGGAATGCAACGTATGTAGTTTCCTATCTGGTTCCCCCCCCCACACACTCAATTCAAGATAAATTTTACATGGAATCTAGAGTTTAAAGTCAGCATATAAAATGAAAAACCATACAGCACTGAAATTACCCCACGAAGGTTCAAGAAGGTACCATGTTGAAACTGACATCCTATTGGCTCAACAAATCCACCCGAGAGTACTTTCTCCTTTTGGCTCGCAACGAATCACTGTGCCTGTTTCTGAGCACCTGATGAAGCACCTGGCTTATGTTTAGAAGCCATGTTGTAACAAAAAGACACTTTAGCTCTAGAATCATTCTCAGGGAATCAAGATAAGCTGTTTAAACTAGTATAAAAGGAAAATGAGGATAGTAAAGTGTGAGAAGAGAGATTTCCCATCACCCATTTCAAATCCATCACAGTATGTTCACAGAGTATACAGACTGCACACAACTCTTGCACCTTTTTGAAGATTTTATTTTTAAGTAATCTCACACGCAACCTGGGGTTTGAACCCACAACCCAGAAATCAAGAGTTGCACGCTCCACTGACCGTGCCACTGAGGGCACCCCAACTCTTGCCCTTTTACCATATGTCTGTGCTGAAAGACACGCGCTTTCTCTTTTTTGTTAAATCTATGTATTTGAATATGCTTAAGTTAAACACATGTATGACAAAATGCCAATGTATGCAAAATTTGTCATAGCTAAAAAGATTTCATTATAATCTATTCATTTGAGTTTACACTATCTTAAAGTTTGTTTCCTGCTTTGTTCTTTTTTTTTTTTTTTGAAGATTTTATTTATTTAAAGATTTTATTTATTTATTTGACACACAGAGAGAGATCACCAGTAGGCAGAGAGGCAGGCAGAGAAAGAGGGGGAAGCAGGCTTCCTGCTGAGCAGAGAGCCTGATGCAGGACTTGATCCCAGGACCCCGAGATCATGACCTGAGCTGAAGACAGAGGCTTAACCCACTGAGCCACCCAGGCACCCTTTATTTATTTTTTTGTCAGAGAGAGCAAGCAAGCAAGTACACAAGCAGGGGGAGTGGCTAGCAGAGAGAGAAGCAGGCGCCCCACTGAGCCCGATGTGGGACTCAATCCCAGGACCCTGGGCTCATGACCTGAGCTGAAGGCAGTCAGTCAACCAACTGAGCCACCCAGGAGTCCCTTCTGTTCTTGTTCTGTTATTTTGCTAATTTTGTACACTCAACAATAATCTGGAAGATAGATATCAAGTTTAAAAATTCTATTAGAGGGGCATCTGGGTGGCTCAGTTGGTTGGGCAACTGCCTTCGGCTTGGTCATGATCCCAGAGTCCCAGAACGGAGTCCTGGGTCCCCTTCTCCCGTCGGGCTCCCTGCTCAGCAGGGAGTCTGGTTCTCCCTCTGACCCTCCCTTCTCTTTGCTCTTTCTCATTGTCTTTCAAACAAATAAATAAAATCTTAAGAAAAATTCAATTAGAGTTTTTCCAGTAGTATTTTTTTTAGCATTTTTTAATTGGGGTAAAATATACATAAAATTTGCCACTGTAACCACTTTTAAGTGTACAGTTCAGTGGTTTTAAGTACATTCACACTGATGTGCAACCATCATATCATACATCTCCAGAATTCACATATTTTCACAAACCAAAACTGTACCTATTAAATGGTAATTCCCTTTTCCTCCTCCCCTCAACCCTTGATAACCACTGTCCTACTTTGTCGCTATGAATTTGACTACTCTAGGTACCTCATATAAGTGAAATCTTAGAATATTTGTCCCTTTGTGATTAGCTTATTCACTTAGCACAGTATCTTCAGCGTTCATCAACAATGTAGCATGTGCCAAATTTCACCCTTTTTAAGGCTGAATAATAATTTCCCACTACATATATGTATCACATTTTATGTATTTATTCATCAGCTGATAGACATTTGAGTTGTATCCACATTTTGGCTATTGTGAATAATGTTGCTATGAACCTGAGCACACAAACATTTATTCAAATCCCTGCGTTCAATTCTTTTGGGTATATGTTAGATCATACAGTAATTCCCTGTTAAACATTTTTAATTTTTTTTTTTTTTTTGAGAGAGAGAGAGAGAGAGAGAGAGCATGTACACAGTGGGTGAAAGAGGAGAGAGAAGAGAGAGAACCTTAAGCAGGCTCCATGCCCAGCAGGGAGCCTGTTGCGGGGCTCGATCTCATGACCCCGGGATCATGACCTGGGCCAAAATCAAGAATCCGACACTTAACTGACTGAGCTACCCAGGCACTTCTTTATGTTTGACTTTTTCAGTTACCACAATACTCTCTGTAGTGGCT